AGGGCCTCTTAGAGGTGACACGTCTCATGGATGGTTTCACCTGGCCTGCATGTCCTCATCTCTAGCTGCCTCTGGGCCCGCATGCCTGTGGCAGGGGACCAGTCATAGTCGTGGCCATGCCTTCTCAGCTCCCACCTCTATAGAGACAACTAGGGGGTCCTCTCATCTTTCCTGTGTTTCCCTTTTCTCTTCGCCACATGATCTCTGATTCATTTTTAAACAGTCATCATCACTGATCTCCGGCTTGGAACCTGCCCTTGCAAACTTGCTGGGCTCTAGTCGCTGAAAAATCCCACAGCAACCCGTGATCCTATGGGATACTCTACAGTTAGAACCAGGTAATGCATCTGTACCATTTACTACTGTTCTGATGCTAAATTGGTCTCTCTTGTTAGATACAAACTGAAGTTGTGGGCTACACATATGTCTTACATTTCTTACAGTAATGATGATGATGATGATGATGATGATGATGATGATGATAAAAGTGACACAATACCATTGGGCTGTGGAAGGAGAAATGACAAGAGATTGCAGTCTTGACTTTATCACTGAACTGTTAGTGGCTGTGGTCGGTCCACTTGGCCTCGTTGAGCCCAGTTTCCTCATCTGTGAAACGGAAGGGAGTGCTACCTCTCTACTCTCTTTTTCAAATTCATGGCAAGTCCAGATGCCCTCTTCACTCCGTTCTGGATTTGGAGCTCATCTCATGTGGTTCTACAATGATCTAGTTCCCCAGACCTGCCCACAGAATTGTTCCCAGCATACCGGGATCATGCTACCTGTCTAACTCTATCGCTAGTCTGTAATCACAGTAAGAGTGGGCATCTTAGTAATTAATTAGTCTTAGTAATAGTTAGGAATTCGTCTTAGTAACTAACTGCTGCGCTCTCCGTACCTAGCATAGATCCAAGACACGTTTTAAAGAAAAGAACACCGCTGTGGAATAAACAAACAATGAGTGAGGCTCAAGCAGGGTCATATTAGCAGAAGTGCTTTGCAAACAGAATTAATAAATGTAAGTAATGCTGATGCCGATGACACACAGGACATGCCATTATAAGTCAAGAAACCTATCGTGACAAACCTCAAAAAAGCCATGTGGTCTTGATCTCATTTCCCCATTGACCGAAGGCAATGATGCCCTTTCCAGCTCAGGTCAGAGGGAGCCAGAATCTGGGAAATGTGAGCCTGGGACTGAGAGGAAGCCAGCGGGGGGAGAACCCACTGTCAGTTCTCCGTGCCTGTCTCGTGTGCTCTCCCCAGTGCCTCTGTTGAAGGACAGACAAGGACATCGGTTCTATAGGGTCAGTTTTGTACAGGTGAGAGGTGGAAGAGCGGGGACAAGGAATGTGTACCTTTCTCTAGTGAGCTCTCCTGCACCCAGCATTTGCCAGATTTCCACCACTTCTGTTCCACCGCCACACTTTCATCAGACCTAAGGCAACTGCTTCCCATTATTTTATAACATGTACATGCTTAAAACCAATTCATACTTCTTCATAGCACTGATCTATGCAACACTAGCACCAGGATGATATGCTAATTAGATTTTAATTTTTAATATATAATTTATCAGTTGTGTTGTGGGAGAGACTATTCTAAGAAACTATAAAATGGAGAAGGATAGAGGTGTGCTGTGATTTTATTTTATTTTATTACTAGAGGCCGGATGCAAGAAATTTGTGCAAGAGTAGGACTTTGTTGTCTCGGCCGGCCCTCGTGGCTCCGGCTTCATCTGGAAGGTTGTCTGGATGGTCGTTCCACTGTTTGGCCATTCGGTCAATTTGGATATTACACTTTTATTATGATATATTTTTTTGAGGACATTTTATTATCTAAGGCACATATGTCATGGGCTTTGCTTCACACAGACTTCCATCAAGTGCAATGAAAAAATATTATATTTTTTATTACTTTATTTACCATTTTCAGTATTTTTCTAGCACTTTATTTATTATCTTTTTGCCTAAGATTTTTATGATGCGTGTTACGTTAGTATATAACTTTCAGAAGTCCCCTGGCATCCATCTGGGTATCTGCTGCCTCCACGCAGAGGAGAGACACTCCTTGGAAATGGAGGTAAGGACGAGAAGGATTCGGAAGGCAATGCCAAGAGGGAATGTCAAGAGGGACTGAGAGAGGGAGGAAAATGAAGATTTGTGTGTATCTCATGTGAAGGTGGCAAGAAATGATCAGCCCTCAAGGCTACACAGATCAAGGAGTGTTTGATGGAGCAGCACAGAAATCGTTACAGAATTAATTACTTTAGAATCAAGGATTTGCATTTTTCAAGTGCAAGGTGCGCGCTCTGAGGTCCATGGGTAACTAGCATGCAGATCCGAGAACGATTTGAGCAGCGCAGTCCTGTCCTTGGGCCCAGGCGGGGGCCCCTGCCCTGGGCCCCGCTGTAGGAGGCTCTGTCCCTCCTCTGGGACCCCCTCTAGGCCACAGACCCCATATCCCGGACTCTCAGATGCTCTGCTTTCAGCAAGGGCTGGCCTCTTCTTCCGTATTCCTCTCCCCAGCGGGGCCACACTGCTGAAGGTCAGTGAAAATTTGGACGGGTTTTGGACTGTTTTGAAATATTTGAGATGCAGCCTGTGTAGAAGCAGGTTTATAAACAAGAGGACCACCTAAAACCCCTCTCTCTGTTTAGGGATACGAAATTAAGCTTGGTGCATATATTTGTTTGTTTGTTTTGTTGTAGACTTCTACTGATAGAAAAGGGAGGGTTTATGCTCATGTTTAATCTCATTACTGTATTTAGAATCGAGAAAACAAATTTTCCAACAAAACAGTTTGGCTACTTGTGCTGTGGTCCAGAACTGTGGCTGTCTGTGGCAGTGTTTCCTTTATCAGGTGAAAAAAAACAAACTCAACCCAGACTGGGTTAGCCTTCCGTCTGGTTAAGATTCGGGACCCTGGCCACACCAGGGGAGGAATCTGTCCTTATTTCCGGAAGCTCTCAATGTGCAGTTGGAATAACTAACTCAGTCTTAGGTTCAGTGCCTTCT